CCGTAGCACTAAGACTGATACATTGTTATTGTTAAAAAAGCAGAATAGCTTAAATCAGCTAAATAAAAGCTGAAGGAAGCTGAAATTAGCATAAAAAGTACAAAAAATAATTAAAAAAAAAGCTGAACCGGAACAAAGCACAGTAAAGATTTATAAACAATTTGAAGGGTTTTCAGGTTTCCATTCATCAATGAGAAACAAATGGCCAAAAAATTAAATATCTCTAAAAATATAAAACACTAAAGTACCAAAATTCATAGCCTGAATGTCCTGAAGGAGCTGAACGTTTTGATATGTAAAGTGTTGAAATAACACAAAAAGTGTGGAACGATAGATGAAAAACGTATGAAAATAAAAATATGAAATCTGAATAATAAGAATGACTAACAGGAATTCACAGCCTTAAATCCATGATCCGATCCAGCCAATGAATAAACTAAACGTGGAGCTGACAGCAACAGCTTCAGATCTTTCAGGGGTCACTGACCACCGCCTCCGCCCGCTCTGACCCCGCGCTCCGTCCGACCACTCTTCCTATTTTCACAGGAGACAGGAAGTTGCCGCTGCATCACTTCCTGCTCCTTATCGAGCGGCGGCAGGCTGTTTGTCCCCGGAGATTTAAACCCAAACAGGAGCCTGAAGTCGCAAAAGAACCGGCCAATCACGGGGCCGCTAGCAAGGCTGCGATTGGACGGCGGCCTGGCGAGAAGCTCACCTGCCCTCGTGGCTCCGGTCCATGACTTCAAACTGTTTCCTCAACCACCTGCAGGGGAGAGGAGGAGGACTGTAACAAGGTCAATGTGTTTAAGAGCTTCTTTCTAATAAACAACACATTTGTTGAATTCTCTTTAGTTTGGTTTTAATCTCGACTTTTAGTCACAACCGGAAAGTTTCAATCAGGAAAAACAAACATCCCGTCGAGCTGACGCCCCAAACAGTTTTCACCACTTCATAAACAAACCAAATTACTGGTTTTTATTTCCACAAACTGTCTACAACAAACCAGAAATACTTTTATCCCCAAAACAAATATTTATCCTCGTCCTCTGTGCTGCAGGACAGAGAGGCTGCAGATTTTCACCTGTGGGGTTTATTCAGCGTATAATTGTTAAAGTTAATCTGCTCAGGGATTAAACGTTAACGAACCTGTCGATCTGCTGCGGCGCCGGCGCTCTCTGCGTGTCCGTCATCAGCCAGGTGAGTCCGGTGAGCCACATGTTGACCTCCTCCTCGCTGAAGGCTTCAGTCACAGCCGAATCCAGAAAAATAAAACAAGTTTCACTTTGTGTCCGATAAGTTCACAGTCCTCGTGTGTGAATACAGACAGCTCACATCCAGGCCGCCGTTTGCTTTTCTTACAGCTTAGGATTTCTGTGGCTTTCATCAGTTTTTTCTTTCTTTTATTATTATTACTCCATTTTTCCTTCCGTACATTTTTTGCGCCATTTCAAAACATTCAGCTCATTTCTGCCGAGTGAGCTAAAACTTTTCTTATTTCAGGCGTTTATTTTTCAGTTATTTAGCTTTTATGGCCATTTTTTTTCTGAAGCCATCTTTAAAACCCTTATGTGTTTATAAAT